ATATACCGCGACTCATGTGGCAGCTGGCATGCCCATATTGCGTAGATAGTCTGTAGCTTCCAAACCATCATAGTTGCTTGCGCTCAGGCCATTGGAGTGAGGTTTTTCTCCCTCGAACACGCATCGGCCTGCACACTCAGTCACTCTTCAGCGCAACAGCAAGTTGTGCCGTCTTCTTCTTCCAGTACGCCTGATGTTCCTTTTCAATCTCACGCATGTCACTCAATTCTTGCCTGCCCAGTTCTTTCACCTTCTTGTCTAGGTTTTCGATGTCATCATCAGGGAGCCTTGTTGGAAGAGGCAGGGTGTCCTTGCGATACCTCGAGGGCTGGTATATGAACTTTGGAAACATGGTCGTTGGAATGACGGCGTTTTTGTCACGGACGTTTGTTGATATCTCTTCTTCGAGGAAGGTAACGCGCTTCCGGTTGGTACGAGACTTGTCCTGTGCTGGAGAACTCTCGTGCTCGGAAACGAAGAGCGTGGATTCGGCGTCAGTGACTTTCGATGGCGAAGATGAAACAGGTAAGACCGATCCGTCCGATGGCTGCTTGGTAAATAGCATATCTTCCATAGCCTCCTTGCCTAGACATGCCGCTCCTAGCTTCCAGATCTCGCCGAGAACAACCTCCCACTCCTTCTGCAACTTCGCTAGTTTGGCCGTCTCTTTAGTGATCAACTCATCGTAGTGGATCATGCGAGTCTCAAGTGTCTGATCAAGACGTACACTCTTTCCCTCACTGTCAGTGCGCCTAAGTGATAGGGTGAACTGAGAGATGGGTTGGTAGAGCTGAGTGGCTAGGCGCTCGTACTTTGCTGGGGCAGAAATCTTGAGGGGCGAGCTAATGAGGTCCTGTTGGTTACTGTTGCGAGTAACGGTCTGCAGGGTACTTTCGTAGAGGGTATGAAGAAGCTTTTCCAGGGTCTTGTTGATCCTGGAAGAAGCTGTCTTGTAGAGATGGCGACGGTACTTATCGCTGGCATCTGTGCAGTATGATATTAGCGGTCTGCGCTCAGCACATGAGAGAGCTTAGCTGTACCTTTGAATTCTACGCCTAGAGGATGCATGTTCGAAGAACTCTTTCTCACTACTCTCTTCTCTACGCTTGAGTGAGACCCGGCGCTCAGCAATGTGGTAGCGTCAGCATCGTCCCTGGTGAACCTGGAGTTGCTGATATTCGTCTGACGTGTGAGGTTGCCTTGTTCCCTGAAAGCACCCTGGTTCCTGAAAACGGCAGCAGCGGATACCGTCTTCTTCGCCGGTGGGCCAATGTTGCCGCGCGCCCGCAGTTCAGGTACGTTGCGCTCGACCTCCATTCAAGCTACCTGTGTTTGGGGGTGTCGAGGACGCGTTGCGAGTACTGAAAGAGGTGAAGTCGAGCTTTGGTGCAGACGCAAAGCTTGTGGGTTGTTCCGGCTCCGTTGAGGAAGGCGCGTGGTGACAACGGAAAGAGCACTCATATTAGCCACATCATAGAAGGGCAGGAATTGGTTATTTCCCCTTCAAATAGTGTGTGATTTGAAGTATATCAGGCATCCCAGCCATGAAGTTCATGCGTGTCTTGCTCTTCGTATGTATACATATAGTTGTTACACGGGTGACAGAAGCTGGCTAGACATTCGCAACCAAAGCGATAATGTATGGCATAAATTCCATGCGCCTCTTCTATTCGCCGTTGTATTATCTACCTCTTAGGGTGCCTGTCCCTCGGCTGGCACAACTACACCCTTCTCTTCCAGCATCTTTGCAAGCGATCCATCTTGATGCATCGACATCAGGATGTCACAGCCACCGACAAACTCCTTGTCAACGTATAGTTGCGGTATGGTCGGCCACTCGGAGTATTCTTTGATACCTTTTCGAATTTGTCAGCATGTAATGCCCCGTTGCCCATCCTGCAGCCACCCGAAATGCGCCGCAGGCTCGAGTCCTACGGCCAGGTGGCCAAACCTGCGGGGAAACCGTGAAAACGTACCTTGCCTCAGATCCTGGTCTTCCAGCACGTTGAAGGCTGTGAACTTCTCCGGATCTACACCTTGCATGCCCAAAATCTGTATGCTGGCTCTCGAGAAGCCGCATTGTGGTGTCTCTGGTGTACCCTTCATGAACAGGACAACAGGCGATGATGCGACAGCCTTGTCGATGGCAGACCGGACTTCATCGGAGAGTAATCGTGCTTGGAACGGTGTGAGGAATCGTGCCGAGGGGATGGGTCGAGCTGTGCTGGCACGGGTGGCGGCTCGGAAAGCCTGGTGGCTGTCAGATTGAATTGATAATTAGACGTACATTTCAGGAGCTTACCGAGGGAATTGCGCGTCTTGCAAACATCATGAGTGGTTGGAGTGGTGCAGGGAAGAAGTTCGGGTGACGCGATCACCTCCGCTGTTCGCCGCACCCGAAGTTTTGGATGAGGTCACAACGCCAAGGCCGCTGAATCACCAACCTCCCATTCGTCCGTTCTCACTTTGGCTTCATTCACGAAATGTCAGCTCACTAACGACTATCTATACACTGGGGCTTCGCGATGGCCCATAATCCTAAAGCTAGACTCACGGTGCATGTTAACCAACGCCTTTAGACCTCAGCGAACGTAGACACTACTATCGCCATAATGAAGTCCGTCGCTTCAACTTCCATTAGGTGGTCTGCATCACACTGTTCGTTCCAAAAGAGGGCATGCCTCAGACAGGCTACAAGACCTCGTGATGCGTCTCATATCTGGAAAGACAAAATCCGACCTTCCTTTGTGCGCATGAGCGAAACGGTATACAAGCTACGAGCTGTCATTTGGAAACCTCGTTCCCATGGCAAATATTGGCAATCGAGGCTGCTAGCATCGAACTTGATCTACTTGTTCTATACTCAGTTTGCTAATCTCACGACGCCTATGTGTGTTAGCAGTGTGTGACCGGCAGATCACGCCTTTTACTCACCTGCGATTGTCAACTGCTATGCATATCTGAGGAATACGGTCACTCGATAAGCTTGTCTAAGTATATCAACAGTGAGTGTGGCCTCCCAGCGTTCGATAAGATTATTGCCAAGCTCACCCGAACCTGATTCGTAGGCCTCTACCACCCTCATCCTCACATGGTTTTTCATCCCATGCGTCTTTGTCCCCGGCAGGACTCCTCTGCAACATCATGGTCTTCCCATTGGCTCCGCGACAGTGGAAACATCATACAATATGACTTCGGCGGAGCAAAGCTCGCATACATTCCTCAGCATACCATCAATCAAGTTGCCTCCGACGAGAACATCAGAGCTGTCATCTCGTTCGACGATAGCCTCAGTGACTGTAGCTCCGACACCAAAAATGGCCTTATCACCAAGATTATCCTATCAGGGAGACGAGTATTTGTCATCTGCATTCTGGGCAAGATCTCAATGAAGTATCTCCGGGTGTTGCTCGAAGAAGATCATGTTACGGACTCTGAACTTCCTATAGCAGAGAAGAGGATCACCTCAGGATTTGCAAATTCACCTTACCTCCTCGCAAGCTTCCTCCGCGCCCAATTTCGACTGGAGGGTCTATCTCAGATGCCAACACAGGGACGATTTCATCAGCAAATCGATGAAGCCCACACTGTCCCTATCTCCGTCAAAAGTAGTCTATACGATAGCCTACAGTCGCACGTCTACGAGATGCAGATCATGTTTCCGGGGACTAATTCTCCTTTACCCCCAGGCCAAGATCTCGTCATCAAGAAAGCATGTTCATATGCAACCAAATGCGTTACGGAGCGCAAATTCCTCCAAGCGCTTGCCAACAACGATATCTCACATCCACATATTGTGACTTCCTACACTGGTTTTTGGTTCAGGACAGCACAGTACGTCGTCAGCGAGCGCGGCTCAGGAAACCTTTTGAAGTTCATGACGAAGTATACTGACGGCGCTCAAGCGCGTCTTAACTACGACTGGGTTGTTCATCAGTTCATGGGCCTCGCAGACGCTCTCGCAAAGATACACGGGCCTACTACGAAAGGTAATACTGGGTTTTACCGCAACATCAATCTCGACAATATCCTTGTTTTCGCCAAGAACGATCTGAACCTGCAAGACAGCACTCTGAAGTTCTGCGGCTGGGGCTATGCAAGAATGACTGATGGAGAACGGAATGAAGAGACGAGTGAAGCATCATGTGAACAAGCAAGCGACGAGTCGATTATTGGAGCCTACAACGAACACAAACCGTCGGGGGTCATTCGTGGCTGGAACATCGCAGTGTCTCGTGACATCAGGTGCTTAGGGCTGGCCTTTCTCGAAGTACTCGTATGTTCCACGAGGGTGAGGTCAAGATGAGTGACTTCGTGAAGCAGCACCGATACCGTTGGATTGATGCTCCTCCAGGAGGGATTGCACGTACCGTCCAGCAGAAGATGAAAGAGATTGGCGATAGAGGTGCTGAGTGGAAGACTCTGGTCGATATCATCGGCCAAATGCTACAGGTGGACGTGGTGAATACTAGCAGAGCAAGTGATGTAGTCACTGCCCTGGGCAGCCTCTTAAACACTTAGTAGGTCGAGAACTCTTGGAAATGCGTTTATGAAGCTCACTCAAAGATCAAGCACTTTTATGGTGAGTCTCATTCCGTTCATTCTGCGATGTTTCCTTTGTTCGTGCAGCTCTAGTTTACGGGAATGGCAGGTTCACAAATTCTCAATTTCAACACTATACCCTCCACATTATCTTAACTCTTGTGATCAATACGCCCGTCAACTTCTTTCCTGTCATGTGGATATTATGCTCTATGATCACGAGCCTCCCGCATGTCACATAAACAATACTGCAACGAAATACCACCTTCAATTGCGTTGTCAGACACTCATTCACCCACAAACAACAATCACTTCAGATTCATGTGAGCTCACCATGAGTGCAGACTTGGTGTTTGGTGATTGTTGAACAACAGAGGTCATAAAGAAGCCCACTGAATGCTACGCATATCCTCTCCAATACCTCATTCCTTGTTCTATCGCACCACTCCTGTTTCATTATGGGAAAGCCTCTAAAGGACTACAATGATATAATGGCAGCGTGTAGGACCCGGCTGGTCACCAACACTACCACCGCAAAATTCGGCGACAAGACATTCGAATTCTTTCCGTTGACAACCATTCGGCAAGTCGCTTCTGCAGGCAGCGTCAGTGGTATTTTCCACTTCTCCGGGCTGGACACCGACACGGTGTACGAACTGAAGAATAGGATCCGGTCAGGCGGTGAGCGTTTGTTTGCTCTCGCTATATACTGCGGTCTCTCGCCACCTGACGTACTCTTCGTCTTGACAACCCACAATGATGATGCCCTTCCTTTCTCGCCAAAAGACTGGCTTGGGGTGACCGAAGAACAATCAGACTCGGTCTACAGTACTATTTGCGACGCACAACATCTCTTTACTGTCCCTGAACTTCAAGAATCTCAATACAGGACCGATCTCACGGGTCATGCCATTCCGATCGAATTCAACAGAGGTGTCAACCCCGACGTTGGCGAAGGTTCCGGAGGGAAAGTCTACAAAGCCAGAATCCACAACAGCTGTGCTTCCTTTTTACGAGAGTCCCAGGGCGCCCACGACTGGTCTAGATATCTTGCACTCAAAGTCAGCAAATTTCGGGAAGACGCCGAGCGGGAATGCGATTTCCTCGAGACTTTGGCCCGATCTCCAGGCTCACACGAGCATATCACTACATTCTACACTGGCTTCGTATTCGAGAAGAAGGTATACCTCATCGCGGAGCTAGCGGATGGCAATTTGGACGATTTTATGGCGAAGCACCCTGAACGCCGAGCTGTCAAAGATCTGGATCGCGAGTGGCTTTTGGCACAGCTCCGGGGCCTTGCGAGTGCTCTAGAGGTTCTTCACGGTCAAATGACATACCACCATCACGATATCAAGCCTGCCAACATCCTAGTATTCAACGATCCTGCCGCTAACGTGAAACACAGATTGAAGTTCACCGACTTCGGCTCCGCAGGCTTTGCCGGGTGTATCGATGCGACCGGACGTAGTGCAAAATCGAAGATCAAAGGTAACACACCAACGCTACCACCGGAGACGTACAAGAACGGGTCAAGCTCTCGCCCACATGATGTTTGGTCGCTAGGATGTGTCTTCCTCGACATTTTGGTGTGGTATTGGAAAGGCTGGGAATATCTGAAGGAGTTTCGTTCCGAGGTGGAGGAAGAGAGCGTAGCTTGGTGCTATTACACTGTAGAGGATGGGAATGTGACGAGAACTGAGGCAGTTTCGGCTGCTCTAGATGAGCTTGGGCCAACTGAAGCGGAACTCGTTTGCGTCATACAAGACATGCTAGGAATCGACCCAGGTTGTCGACCGAACGCAGCCAGTGTGTGGGAGAGACTGGGCCCGATAGATTAGCAGTTACATAGGCTCGGATACCCAGCTGAGAAGGAATTTTCAAATCCTTGACATGTAGTCTTGTTGCTGTTCCGCGTTTTGATCTATTTGAAATGTTCCAGAGGAAAAGTATCTTTGAGAGGCAGCTTCCACGTTTTCGCTTGTCGAAGGAGCTTAACCTTAAGATACAAGTAGGCTGACCGTATGACGCGGTGCGTCTGAGAATCACCACCTAGGCATGCCCGGGCTACTTATCTTATGCTAGAATTGTCGATCGAGCTAGTTCCGAACGGATCAGACTAGTCCATGCAGCGTACAGCAACCAACAATGTGGCGTATGTACACCCAGACAAAAGTAATGGCATCCTTTCTGAGACCGCACAACAAACCTTTTGACTAATTAGGCGTGTGTGAGGTTAGTTGTTTTTACTCCACAGAGATGAGATAGCCTTGGGTAATTCGGTGGGGCTCGTGGCACCAGTAACTGTTTCAACGGCGAAAGCGTGCGTAGTGGTAAGAGCCGCACATGAAAGGATGCTCGATTCGTGTCATGCTCAAAACACGAAAACAGAGCTTTCAGAGATTGTGCCATGCGGATTATCGATTGCCTGTGGTTGCTGAACCCTAAAAAGCTGCGTCGTTCATGAGGTACGCTGGAAGGTCGTCTACTTGGTGGCCACGCGCAAATATATTCCTTTGACCGGAAAATTGCAGTACGGCTGATGTTCTAAGGCGTCCCGTTCATGTTTGAACTTCGTTGTATTTATCCGTTCTGATATCTGGACAAGACCGGACGGCTGAAGAATAACGAAGTGAATCAATCAATCTGCTTCACCTCGTAGCAGCGGTTGATAGGTATCTCGCCGAAACTGCGCGAAGACCCGAAGAGCAGCGACCCCTCTCGCTGCCTCCATACTGGCCTGAACGTATTCCCGGCCTTCGTGACGTCCCGATCGCGAGAAACCAGTCTCATGATGAGCTAGTCATCAGATATCGACGATGTAATGCTCCAGCAGGTGGGGTGGACCTAGGTTGCACTGCATTTTGGTGTCGGAAAATCCAAACCCGACGTTGACGAGGCGATCGAGGTCTCGTTAGACCGTCTGCACCTACGCCTCCTCCAGGTTGCCGGCTAAAGTGTAGTGATGAAACGGAGCCTCAACTGGTGCCGAGCCTAATGTTGGTATATTGCGGTACTGCCCTTTGATGACATGTTGAGCTGCGTGTAGGAAACATGATGCCGATGCTGTCCACGGAGGTTGTCGATAGCTGTAGTGGATGCACAGTTTTCTGGTCGATGCCTGGGTAATAACAGCACTTGTGCGAATTTCCTGCTCTTTCCGAGAGGTTGCGGGCACAGGTCTCTACACGAGATACGCCGGTGGCCCATTACTCCACTACTCTCGAGCGCGGGATGCCGCTCATGGTAAAGCCGGTAGGGCTGAAGTTTGCGATGCGACGCCTCCACTGTATTGCGGGTGCAGCCTCGTGCAGTTCCAGAGCCAGCCTCGCACAAGCGGTGCGCCTATAGGGAGTACCGATATACGCCTATCCGAGTACCAAGCTCGTATCTGTGGTGTTGTTGCTGGGCATTTCAAGCCTCGAGGCGTAGATATGGTATTCGGTTGTCGCCTCAGGCCTTGGATGTCACTACGACAGACGCTACCCCCCATTCTCCACCAATCCCCACAGATTCGCGTCAGCAATAGACGAAGGCGATGGAGGTGATATACTTGGCGCACGAATACCTTGACTGATGGCAAATCAAGTGATTGGTGCGAAATTGGCGGCTTTTGCGACGGTATGGCGAGTCTACGGATAAATTCGAGCTCCAGCTATCGGCGAGCGCACCACGGTGCCCGCGCTGGTCCGTTCACTATCCTACTGCCCCGAGCAAGCAACGCCTAGTGGCCTTCCTAACGGCATATTCACCGTCCAGCCATAGGACGGCTTTAGAGCCAACAGACGCGCGGGTTTTACGGAAGCTTGGTGCTTCCACCTGCTCTTGACATGGTACTATCTCACTATCTTCAAACCTCACACACATCGCGATTAAATCCAGACCTGGTCCTGCATCCCACCACCCCACGGATGAATCTACAGCGCTCAGTCTGAGACGTCTGTATTTCTCCAGACACAGCCCCCACCACCGCCTCATACTTTTCGACGTTTCGGAAATGGTAGCGACGGTTGCCGGAGTCCGCCAGTTGTATACCGCCCGTCGCATTCTCGCCGAGATCCAGCATCGCATCAACGGCTTCAACACGTACGGTTAACACTACTAAGCAGAACAGCGCACAACTCTACTCACCCATGGCCACCATGGTGCAAACCGGGAGCGTGACCACCTCCCGTCTCAAGGAAGGCGCGGTCATAGACGTGCAGGAGATCCCGAACGGCGCCCGGCCGGCGCTGCTGATCCTGCATAATGAAGGCGAGGAGGACATTGTAGGCATCTTTGCGGATGTCCTGGGCCAGAAGTGGGAGTCGGCGACATCCATGGACGAAGCGCTGGCAGGACCACGGGAGACGGTTTACGGGCTAAGCAGCGGGCTGGCCAAAACGCAACTGGACGCTTGGGACCGCTCTAGGTTGTTGATCAACACACATCGAGTGGACGGCGGTCATGAACTGGACGAGAGCATCACCGATCGATGCGACTACGAATACCTCTACACGCGCGCGCCCTTTTTCCGTCGCGACGTGTCGCGATACCTCTCTTTTGTCCTCGGCCAGATCGGGCCCCACCGCGACCTCACCAAGAAGGCGCGCACGACGCTGATATCGACGACGTTCCCCGATGTGCACGCTGCACTTCCCAATCTTGACATTCTGTCGGTCGGCGCGGACGCCATCGAGATCCGAGTCGACCTGCTGGAGGAGCCCCTACCAGATGGAACGGTCAGCAAGATACCCAGCTTGAAGTATGTCGGCGAGCAGGTCATGGTGCTGCGTCAACGCACGGAGCTGCCAATCATCTTCACTACGAGGTGCACCAAGGAAAATGGCCGGTTCCCCATGGACGACCCCTCCCTGTTCTACCGATACCTTGCGCGCGCGATACAATGGGGTTGCGAATACATTGATGTGGAATTGTGGCTGCCAGAGGAGATTAGGAGGAAGCTGGCCGAGAACAAGGCGTGCACCAAGATCATCTCGGCGTTCCACGACTTTTCGGGCAGCTTCAAGTGGACCTCGCCTGAAACACAGCGCCTGTTCGAGATGGGAGCGGTGTACGGGGACATTGTCAAGATGTACGCACTGGTCAATTCGATGCAGGAGAACTACGAGCTGGAATATTTCCGGTCGACTATTCAAGCCAAGTATCCTCATCCTCCCTTCTCTGGCCTCAATATGGGCCCCATGGGCCAGCTATCAAGGACGCTGAACAAAATATTCACTCCGATTACTCATCCACTGTTACCCATGATTGCGGCGCCTGGCCAACTAAGCGCAGCCGAAATTAACGCAGCGCTCCACACAATGGGCCAGATGCCTAAGCAGGACATCTACGGCATCGGCAGTTTTCGATCAACGTCGCAAGCCATGTTCTTTGAGAAGTGTTTCAACGAGCTTAGTCTGCCGCATTCGTTCGGTTTTGCAGAAAGAGCTCCGAAGGCTTCGATTGAGCACATCCTCCGACGCAACAACTTTGGCGGTGCCTACATCAACCCGCCGTTGGCAGCCTCGGCGCCGTACCTGCCTTCCCTTTCGAATGCTGCTCGGGCCATCGGACAAGTTGATACAGTGTTAGTGCCTCCCGGGACCGGCAACGCCTCCTTCATAGGAGACAACACGCGGTGGAAGGGTATACGTGCGACACTGACTCGCGATTTTGTCCCATCTGCGTACAGTGGACAGGCAGCATTGCTGCTCGCCAGTAACGAGGCTGATGCGTCGGCGTCGATATTCGCACTGAAAAATCTAGGGATCGGGCCTATATATACCATAGGGTTCAAGTCCCACGGGCCCTTATCTACTGACGTGTCACCGGTACGATCGGTAGAGGATGTGAAGCGCCTGCAGCAGCCATTCGTTATCATCTCGGCTCTGCCTGCTGAGAAGTCGCTACTGGTGGTGCCCCTGCTGAAGCACTACAGGGTTGGCGGAAGGAATGGAAGCCCCAACGGACATGGGTGCACAGGAACGAAGGCTGCAGGCAAGGTGTTCGTCGACTTGGCCAGTGGACCCCGAAAGGCCGACCCGCTGGCAATCGCGACGTCGGCGGGATGGACAGCGTATGGCATTGCGGACGTCTCAGCGTGGACGACGGTTGAAACGATCCGGAAGCTCGTGGGGCAGAACGTGTGTTATGACTTTGTGCGTCTGGCGTCCGGAAGGGGGCATTTTTAAATCAGCAATTAGCAATTCGCAATGTACATTTGATGATTGATACGTCTTCACATGCGGCGTGACAGGAGCGAGGCAGCCGTGGCACCAGGGATGGCGGGTGGCTCTTGATGACGGGCGACGGGGCCCTCGTGGAAGCTGTAACCGGGGACGGGGCAGCAGCTAGGACTAGGGCGGGGCACGTGATTGGGCGGCGGGCGATACCCCAGATTTTCTAGAACACATTGGTGCAGTCCGGCGCTACAGGCTGCAGCTACGCCGAGACGAGCTGGGTGCGTGCGACGGGCGCAATCTACGTGCCAAATTGCCAGTAGCTGCATGGCTGAGAACCGAGGCACGGTGCGCCGTCTGGGACGGCATGCGATGGGCGATTTCCTGACGTGCGGCTAGCCTCTTACCCCAGTGGCCTCATGATGGCCGTGTTTTTGACTGCTCGACTCGGCCCAACGGTTCCAAGCCTCGCGCCTCTGCATGGGCTGCTCTACCGCGCATGGCTAGATACCCCGAGATCGTCGTCACGCGTCCAAAGCTCCCCAGCGGTTCCATCACTACCTCTTCCTAGTCACTGCACACGCTGAGTCGCATCCGAGTGGGCGCGCACTCCCGCCAGAGCAAGCCTCGCCGTCCGCGCACCCCCTGCCTGTCTCCACTGCCATAGGCCTTAATTTGAA